TGGGCAGCTATACAGTTTTTTTAATGCTTTTTGTAAATAAAATACTCTAACATATTGGCCCACCTCCGGCGGGCAGAGACATTAAATGAACTCCAAACTGTCATAAATCTATCTAACCAAACAATGACGTCACCAATGTAGAATTGGGGCAATTTTGAAAAATTATCGTTCAAAATTTTTTTTTACTTATGAAGTCAAAAAAACTGTCTCTCCCACCGTCTAATATCTAATTCTATTATGTAGAATGACCGGAAATCGGTGAAAAAATTTTTGGAGTGATCTTGGCTTGGAGCCCTAATTGTGGACAATTACCAAAGAAATCAAATGTATGAAAGGTGACCTTTTTCGCAATTCAAGTATACGAGGGTGGATTGATAAGTTTCCGGCCTAACCAAGAGATGACGCCACTAGGCCTACCTTGAGGTGACATTCTATAGTACCATCCTTGGATAGCTTGTAGCTATAGTTTCAGCCCGATCTCCTTGCTAGTGTAGGTTTGACAGCACGCTGAACAAGACGCCTCTGTGGTTTTCGTAAAAATGGAAAAGCAGGAAAATCGTGCTGTCATCAAATACTTTTATTTGAAGGGGTTAACGCCGAAGGAAATTAAAAAAGAGATGGACTCAACACTGGGGACATCCTCCCCGTCATATTCAACCGTTAAGCAGTGGGTTTCCGAGTTTAAAAAGGGTCGTGTGAGCACCTCTGATGGGCCTCGCTCAGGACGCCCCGTTGAGGTCACAACTCCAGATATGATCGAAAAAATTCATCAAATAGTGCTGGGAGACCGCAGATTGAAAGTGCGTGAGATAGCTGAGACCTGTAAGATGTCATATGAACGTGTGCAACATATTTTGCACCAACATTTGCATATGGAAAAGCTCTGTGCAAGATGGGTGCCGCGTTTGCTAACAGTCGACCAAAAATTGATTCGAAAAAACATTTCTACCGCAAATTTGTCATTGTATAAGCGTAATCCAAGCGAATTTTTGCGTCGATTCGTAACCGTTGACGAAACGTGGGTCCACCACTACACTCCTGAAACCAAAGAACAGTCTAAACAGTGGATTGGACCAGGGGAACCAACTCCATAGAAGGCAAAAACAATTTTTTCGGCGAACAAGGTTATGGCTACTGTTTTTTGGGATGCAAGAGGTATTATATACATTGATTACCTTGCAAAGGGTAATACTATCACTGGTCAATACTACGCAGACTTATTGCAACGTTTGAGCCACGAGGTGAAAATTAAACGACCTCATCTGGCGAAGAAAAAAATCTTGTTTCATCACGATAACGCACCAGCGCACACGTCAATCGTTGCGACGGCTAAAATCAACGATCTAAAGTTTGAATTGATGCCGCACCCTCCTTACTCTCCAGACCTAGCCCCGAGTGACTATTTTCTGTTCCCTAATCTCAAAAAATGGCTTGGCGGTAAGAGATTTGCGGACAATGAAGAAGTTATCGAAGCTGTAAATGGTTATTTTGAGGAGCTTGACGAATCAGTCTATAGAGATGGCATTAATAGACTGGAACACCGCTATGAGAAATGTATCAGCCTTGGAGGAGATTATGTTGAGAAATAAAAAAAAAAAATTTTTAAAAACCTTGTTTTTCTTGGTCAGGCCGGAAACTTATCAATCCACCCTCGTACAGTAAATGGTTAATATTAGAATATAGATTGTTTTTTTAAAAAACAGTGCGACCGGATCAAGATTTTTGTATTATTGAATTGTGGAAATATTAGAAACAAGCGTGTTGTTCCCTTCTAAAAAATAGAAAGGATTACGTGTTCTTTTGTCCTTTTTATTTATGAAATCATCAGGGTTACTTATGTAACTTTAGAGAATACCTGTATTCTCTAGACGTCTAGACTTACATACTTTTTCTATGTTTAAATATTAATGACAATTTCATTAGAAAGAGTATAGATACTTTATCTGTTGTTCTAAGTACATTTATACGGATTCTTAATCGTTTGCTGGTTTAATAGGTTAGAGCCTTATTATCATCGAAATTTTGGTAAAATACAAGACACAAAATATAGTGAAAAGGTTAAAACGACAACACATTGCGTGTATTTTTATAAATATGTAGCAGCTGATCGCAACGGATACATGAAAGCTGAATGTGCTTGTGGTCAGTTTTATTTTAAGGAAGATAAAACATATTATCTGATGACCATACGTTTAAAAACTTTATTGCCTTAGAGTTATTTTTGGGCCTCGTATTCGTACATTAATGTAGTCACGTACAGTTAGCTGAAATTTAAAAATTACAAGAAATATGAAACAATGAAGTACCTACCTGATAAATTATAATTCAAAAGGAAATTAAAGTTATTGGTTTTTTGATTCTATTTATTTATCTGAAAATCAAAAATCGGTAGCATAAAATGCAGTATTTTATAGAAGTTGTCGTAGTTGTTACAGAATATTCATTTTTGTTTTAATATTTTAGAAATATCGTTGTTCTAATTCTTGAATTTTAATTATCATTCAGCCAGCCAATAAAACTTAACTGAGCATTTATTTTTTCAATTTCAACGCTAAAACAAAATCATTGACGCGATAAATTTGATTCCATTTAAGGTGTATTACAAAATTTAAAGACTACTGCCAAAGAAGAAGTTATTCCCCGAGGTGAATAATTGAATACTAATCGGTTTTCAACCTTACGGACGAAACTTCAAGTTTTTAACTATAAACTAACTCAATATAAAATACATAGAAAAGAAAGACATTTTTTCGAGAGCAGAAGACCTAGTGTGAACAGTGGAATTCATCTCTACGGACATGCCTAAGAAATTGAATGAGATTAGGCATATTAATATTATCCATCTGAATTTTGCTTAATTTCTTTATTTATATCTGTGCATCTCACCCCTTCATTTTTAGGTTTATTTTATTTATCATTGTGAAAAGCTTTCTCTAAATCTACGAATCCTATGAACGCACTCTTTCCTTTTTTTTATCGTTTTCTCTATTGCTACCCGTAGAGCTAGGGCCTCTCGCGTTCCTCTATTTCTAAACCCAAATTGATGTTCCCCTAATAATTCTTTCGTCCTCTTTTTCATCTTTTTGAGTACGATTGTAGCTAAATTTTTTGACGAATGGGAAATAAAGCTAATTGTTCTTAATTTCTCACACTTATCCGCGCCTCTCTTTTTAGATATGGTTAGTACCACGTTCCGTTTATAATCCTCCGGGATCTTCCCCGTCACGTAAATGTGACTAACTAGCTTAAACATTACGATCTCTAACTTCTTGCCCTGCATGTTTTAGAATTTCTGCCTGTATCCCATCTATACCTGATGCCTTATTATTCTTTGAGTTTTTTAATGTTACATTACTCTTCCCTCATTATGGGATAATCAAGCTCACCTATTTCCATACTACTGCGTATAGGTTCTCTAACTATTCTTTCCATCTGTCTGTCTTTTCCTCATTTCCTATCAAAATGACCCCTGCCTCGTTTCTTATATTGTTACTACTTACTACTGTAATCTACTTCTCTAAAATTCCTTTTATTATATTATAAGCCTCATCCAAACTTTTCTTCTACTTCTTTACACCTCATATCAATCCACTGTTCCTTAGCTGCCCTCCACTTCCTAATTATTTCCCACTTTATCGCCTTAAGTGTGTCTTTTTTGTCCTTCGTCTGTCTTATTTTAATTTTATTACATCGCCACAAATTTTTTCGTCCATCTATCGCATGTCGCATTACAGCCGGCCGCGGAGTCGGGGTAAAACTGAAAGGCGCTCGGCAGAGCAGCCAAGGCCAATATGGCGGCGCCAATGGCTCGCATGAGCTAACAGTGTAGCATTTATATTCTCACTCATTCGTGCAAGTGCATGACATTTACATTTATAGACTGTGAAACTCAAAGCGAAGATGAAATTATTGATAGAATAATGATTCAATTATTTAAATAAATACTGTTCTCACTTTTTAACACGCGTCTGTCATCTGAATGATTGTATTTATGTATTCCGTAGTCTCATATGCAGATTGAACTTAAAATTTATGGTTGGATATCTTGTCTACTATTGATTTCCCATTATCATTCCCATTTTCCAATCATTACGATACGGTCAAGAACGCGATTTTAATTTTAATACCCTAAATCGAATAATTTTCCGAAAATTTACAGTTAAATGCCTACAATCGGAAAAGTTTCACTTGCATCGAGGTTTCATAATTCATAAAACCACACAATTGATTTTTTGTATTTCCCCCTTTCTTCGATTAGTCCTAAAATATCATTTGTTATCTAGGGTTTCCTACTTTCATTATGTTTAAGACCTAATGTACCTCTAGCTGCTGATTTTTAGGCACGTTTTAATGCAGCTCTAGTATTTCGTCTGTCCTTGTATCTAGCCCATCACTCGTTTCTTTACGTTTTAACTTTTCGTATCCTATCTTCCCTCTTCTTTAGAATTTTCAATTTAAGATTTGTCTTCATAACTACTTTGTTATGATCGCTATCTATATCTGCTCCTACAGTCGTTTACTTGATTTTTAAACCTTTGCCTAATAAGTATGTGATCTAACTGATATCTGCCTAAATCCCTGGCATCTTCCACGCACAGCGTCTCCTAACGTGATGGTTAAATAAAGTATTCCAGACGCGACGGTTAAGTTATGTTTTACGCAAGATTTTATCAGTCCATCTTCCCTATAATTGCTATTACCTAATCCAAAAGAACGTGTATTGCACCATCTTTACCTTCACCTATTACTGCGTTGAAGTCTCCTATAACTGTTAGGTTTTCCTGTCCTTTCTACATTCTGTCCTGCTTTCTTATGGAGTACAACTCGTACCCCCGAATTACCTTCCACCCATCCTGCATGTATTATTCTAAAGTCTCCACTCCGGATGTCTCTATCAGCTTCTGACCAACGGACTTCACTAATGCCTACTAGATCTTATTCTAATATATTATTCTCAAGTTTCAATTTTTTTAACATCTCTGCTTGCCTCTTTGTTCTAGTACTCCACGCTCCGACTCGTGAAATATTGCATCTTCTCCTATTGCACTTGATGACATCCCCCGAGGTATTCTCCGCATGGACATCCGAATAAGGGACTAGCTTACGTCCGGAGTGCTTTACCCTAGAGGACGACATTATTTGAGTTTCGGTTTGTTTTCCTTGGAATAACATAATTTAGTGCTTTCCTGTTACCTTCCATTGCAGTATTGTGCATCAGCGTACCATACCGATCCTTGTACTCTATTGTGCGTTTGCTATCGTTTGTCTTGTGTATATATATCCTCTTTTAGAGGAATGCAAACCACGTCTGATTTGTGTTCTTTTTTTTGTTTATTAAATAAACCTGCAGAACATGCGTGAATGTTCCGTTAATAAATTTAATATTCAGTTGTTTGTTACCAATACCTATTTGGTATTGAAAATCTAAAATAGAAACCGGGGATGGTTGACTATAGGGGTAGGTAGAAAACTCTTTGACAGTGTATGAACTATGTCATCTGATCATAACCAAGCATTACATTTCGCGTCCCGCTCAGTTGTCTGAAGCGTCACATCGCGGTCGTGCGTTGTTGACATGTGACATGTTTTTCATATTTCAATCACATAAGTAATATTTTGATATATTGTATTTTTTGATCTGATGCCTACTCGTTTTATGTAAATCATTTTTCTATTAGTCCTAGCGTTTAATGAGGGCACATTTATCATATTTCATATCTTATTTTTCAAGTCAACAGCTGTGTTTAGGCTAGCCATGCGATCAAAATTAAAAATGGCGTCTGGGGTTGGTAGACCAATTTTTTTCGGGGCTGGTTGAATAATTATTCAACCAACCCCAATGAAATATGTAGTTGAAAACAACACATAAATTAACTTTTTATTGGACTTTTAAATCGTTACGTGGCCAAATTAAAAGAAAAATTAGAACAGAATCCGAAATTGACGAGAGCAGAATTAACCCTGGACACAGTGGAATATATAAAAAATTGACAAATTTTTACTAATCTAGAAGAGGAAACTTTAGCCAGTTTATTTTTTAACAAAAGGTTTAATTATTTTAAAAAAATGTTTAATTATTTTCCTCCTTCTCATGATTTGACTCTTACTGGTACATGAGTCAACTTACCCCGGGCATATGGTCTACCTACCCCGGGCCAGGGGTAGATTGACTAAGATTTAATATTTTGTAAAATGCATTAAATCATCACTATTATACTAAACTAAGAACTAAATATTACATATTTTTATTAGGTTAATAGATTTTATATCAATTAACATGCTTTTCTTGTCTATATACATTAAAACACAAAAAATATGAATTATTCAGTAAAAAACTAGTCAACCATCCCCGGTCTCCCCTTCGCCTCAAAATTTCTCAAAGCATGGTGTTGTGCAATTTTTTTAGAGCAACGCGTTCGATTGTGTATATCACATTTCTGAAGAAATATGCGTGTTCGGGGAATCGTGTAGACTGCTATAAGAAAGATCTGTAATAATTGAAGCACTGTTCGAGTTCAAGGATTCAAAAGAAATAGATTAGGAAATAACGACGCAGAAAATGGGTAAGTGTGCTTCAGGGGTAGATTGCGAGACATGTCAGCCAACAAGAATCGTAAATTTTCTGAAAATCTAGCCACAATGTGGAGGTAGTCGTATAAAGCGAATTCAAAAAATTTGCGTGCAAAATCGAATGAAGGGACAAATCTCTTTTTTTTACCTATGCTTTTTGTTGCGTGAGAAAAAGTTTGGAGTAACTTTTCCTTTATTAATTCAGATATCTACCGAATATTTTCTGGTGAGGCATACCTAAATTTCTTTTCTTGCCTTGAGGTTACTCCTTCAATCGTAAGTTTAAAAAAAGTTATTCGTTTTAACGTCTTCAGAAAAGTTTCGCGGATACATAAACAGAAAATTCTCTCAATACGAGACAGGTAGAAATAAGAAATGTAAATAGCAACAAAAAACTTTAAAATTAAAATTTTTATTATAAGCATATGTTATTATCTATTTACTTTGGTATATTTTGTAATTGAGATATTATTTTATTAAGTGTGTAAGAGTTAACTCACTCGAATAAGTCAAAACAACGGCGACCACTAATCCGTACTGTCAATTTTGGGTTATTCGTTCGCGATCAAATTTCGTTAGGTTAGGTTAGGTTATTCTATGCTGTTATCAACGAACCGAAAGAAGTGTAACTTCAAAAATTCAATAGATTAGTATATCTCCTCATGTCTGCGAATAACCATCCAAATAGGCGACCTTGATGCAGGAGGGACGAACGACGCACCGGATAAAATACGTTAAAGTTACTAGTACATTAGCAAAAATTAAGAAATCAGATTTACTTATTTTATTTCGGATATTTCTAAGTTTAAAAGAATACAATTCCGACCTCATTAAAGTAAAAAAATATTGACAATTCGTCAACGTTTCGATCGATGATTGGGGGCTTTTTCAAAGTAAAAAGAGGTTGCACTCGGTTGAAAAGGATCCTCATCGCCTCTTATTGGTATTAAAAGCATTGTTGAATCCTAACTAACATTATAAATGCGAATATGAGTTTGTTTGCTGCAATTTCAAGCCCCAAACGATCAGCGCGACCACTGAGTAAACATGAGAAACTCCGTACGTTAACTTAGTAACTCAGACGCAGTGTACTATGTCGGATCATTGCGTTAACTCAAAATTGCGCCATGGTTCAACAAAATGGAAAGCACCGAGTAAGTAACAAGAAAGTGAGAGAGACAGAGAGAGACCAGAGCCGGACTGAAGATTTTGGCCTTTGGTACGATGTAACCAAATGGCCTGGTTTAGAAGGGAAAGTGCACAAATTTTAACAGCACTCGTTTTTAAATAAATTTAAGAAGTTAGGAGGAAATTTGCGTCCGTCTTTGCCTCGGTATTTGCTCTTGTTTTAAAAAAATTTTATTGCTTCGGTCCACATTAATTCTATGCATTAAATTCGCAATGAAAACGAGGTAGACGTAAATCTTCAAGCTCACTGCTACGTAACATTTCAACTACATATTTCGAATATAAAAAAGTTCTTTCGTTAGACAACCCTGATGCGACTGGGTCAGTCTTGGTCTTGCCTTGCTTATCACTATACTAGTCTCAGTCCAAAATCTTCCTAGGAACAAATTCAATGCTGAAGTTATTTTTCACAAGTCAATTTAAGTTTTTAAACACAATAACAACCCAGACTGCAATTATTCACCAGTAAATCATAGTTTTCGAATTATNTTAAAAGTAGCGACCACTGGCTTCTTAAAGTATCGTCTGGTGTTAGTCACATGTGGTTTCTGTTGGTAATCGATATAAGCTGCTCGTAGCCACTTCTAGTAGCAACCTCAACGATACAATATTGTAACAAAAAAAATATGAAAACTGAATATTTTTTTAAAGCGTAAAAATCACGTACACTAATTATATACGTACTACACTTTATGAAATTCATTATTACTATCGTTGATAAGGTGAAATGATTCTTTATTGTCTTGACTCTATGCAGTATTCACCGTTTTCTTGTTTAACGGAATGGTATGCAAAACAAATTCGTGCATTTGTATGCTCGTAATTTTCTCATTTAAAGGCTAGTTCGTTGAGCCCTAACCAAGATTAAGTTGCGCTTTAGCATGTTATCTACAAGAGGACAAAACGCTCGTTAATTGACCGAATCTGGAACAGGAAATGTAAAAGTGTGGGCTGAAGGCACGTTATCTTTATTTCCCTGCGCTGTCGTTCCCAGATATCCTAAAATATTCATTTGTACGATTGTACGGTGCAGTGAATGCCGAAACTTGAAGAAATTTTAATCTTAAATTCGTTCCGTCTATAAAAACATCGCGTATAAATGGAATTTTGCAAAATAATACTACTTTAGGTTAGAAATATAAAAATAACAATTGATTTTAGGCTATTATAGACAGCTTTTATGTAAAAAATGCAAATTTGTACATATATTTTTATAATAATACACGCCATTTAACTTTAAACAGCAGAGATCGGTCACATGCGAGACGGAAAATTGTAAAAGGAACGTATATTTCCCCTTCTCTTATTTTACTTAGTGATCAGTAAATATTAAATTTCAATTATATGTTTTAATGGGAAGTTTTCAAATATTCTTGAAGTTACATACGTATAGTCATTTTGTATGAAGAACAACAGGCAGCTAATATAGAGCTGGAGCAGTAACTTAGAGAAGTAAATATTAGGAAGGGAGTCAAACAGGGATGCACGCTGTCACCTCTACCTTTTAGTCTATACATCGAAGACGCGATCAACATCATTAAAGACAGTACAATTGTAGGGATAGATTTAGAGAGGCAAAAGATTAGGTATGCTTAGATTTACAGATGATATAGCAGTATTAGCATCTAGCAGAGAGGAGTTAGAGATAGCTTTAAATAAAATGACAAAACACTATTGTGTGAAAATAAATAAAAGTAAAAGAAAAATACTGGTTTGCAAGGGAAGAAAAAGTAGGGAAAGAGAGCGAATATAAAAATAGGAGACGAAAAATTGGAAGAAGTGGCTGATCATTGATATTTAGGAAGTCGGATGAGGCAGGATGGAAGAAGTAGTAGGGATATAAAGCAGAGAATAGCCCAGGTTCGAGTCGCGTTTAATAAAAAATAGTTAATCGCGGCGGAAAGAAAAGGTTAGAAGCGTTCGAAATGTGGTGTTACCAGCAAATAATGAGGATACCGTGGATAGAGAAGAAGCAATCAATAAGAAATGGGCGAGATAGGTTGGTAGGACACATTATCAGGCATGAAGGACTATACAGAAACATATTAGAAGCAGAAACAGGAGTTAAAAGGAGTAGGAGTAGACCTAGATTATATTACGGTTCCCAAATAGTTAAGGATGTGAGTTGTTCTACTTTTAGGGAAATACGAAGATTGGCTTGGGATAGAAAAGGGTGGAGTTGCGTGTCCAACCAGTCTTAGGACTGACGGCCCTTATGATGATGAATTAAATTCAATTCTTGCCGACCCCTATTAAAGCATGCATATATATGTTCCGAGGTTAAATTATTTACGAATTTGAGACGTTTGTCTGCATATTTAGATTGCTTAACTTTAGTTTATTTGGTTTTTTTTTGCAATTTCTATGCCCATTTGTGTTGGAAATTCTTTA